CATATAAATATAAAGATTAAATAATTTATAGTAATTTCAAACAATTGCTAAAAACACAACTAGTACTAAAAAAATGAAAGAGAACAAACTAGAAATTATACCGAAACGGAAATGAAGAAAAATACATAAAATAAATTATAATCCCTGAATTTTCTTTACTTTAAAAGGTTTCTGATGCGTGCATCGCTACGAACTTAAATGCAAGGCCCAGGTGCCCAATTAGGAATTTCCAAATCAAACGCCAGATCAATGATTTTAAATTTATTATGTAGCTTGTTTTCATTATAAACTTTTAGTAATTTGATAATAACTGATTATATAATAATATAATTTTTGCAGATCTTTAGCTTTCCTCAAAAATGTGGGGTAATGCTAGTTAACACATGCTAATTAACAGTGAGGAAACAATATGTTAGCTTACTGCTAACTTCCATTTTCCACTCTGCTCTCAAATTTAGATACTCCCAGCAAAACTCCCCAAAATGCGACGATATGTTGTGTCCATTTTTTACCTTTGATTTTATAACATTTTTTGCCTCCATAACAATCGGCAGAAATAACAGGTATACATTATGTTTAATCTATACATTCCAGCACTTGATCGGGGCAAAGCAACTTATTTATATTTTGCCGTTTCAGCTTAGAAATGAAACACATAATTATTATTATTATTTTTTTTTATATTTTGAGTTTATTGAAATTACTTCAAGTTAAATAGTTTATAAACCATGATAAATGTCTCAGGTCGGAAATGCATCCAAGGTATATTTAAGCATTTTCTAAAATATTTTAAACATCTACGATTTGTAGTTAATCCGACGATTGGCCTAGCTATTAGTTTAGCGCGGACGGTACAGAGCTTTTTCTAAGATAGAGTTTTATTCACTTACAAACAGGAATAACGCCCATAAATGAATACAGCATCAATAATTGTTTTGTTTGGGTTTTTTCTTAGTTTTATTGAAGTTTGTAAATTTAAATAATTTGTTTTAAGGCTTCGAGATAATTTTTGTCATATGTTAAGGCTAAATATGGAAAATTTCATCTTGCTTCTTATTTGGACTTGTTGGTAATAAGGTAGGTATTGAAATAATCCCAAATGAGTACTAATACCGATATTCATTTTAGTCATGCGCTATATCATAACATATATACTTGTTGATAAGTATACAGTGATATACATATATATGTATCAATTAACAAACTTTAACTTTGTGTTGAGCAAACTAACCCTTCTAAGTGTGTGTGTGTGTGGGTGTTGGTTGTGGTTTATTTATCATAGTTGATTAACAAGTATTAAAACAAGAAGCATTTAATTTAGGTACAAAAGCATATATGTATTCGTATATATATATATATTTATATAATATATATTATGTAAGTATATTATATGGTAGTTAGTTTTAATGAACAGTTTCATAATCTTATTAAGGCCACACAATCAATAACTGACAAGAGTTTCGTACAGCGAAACAAGCGCGTTGACAGAAACTCAAGGGAAGTAACATGAATAGACAAAGGGAGAGAGAGAATTGCAAATGATGCGATGATGATGCGTAAAAGGAAGGGTATACAATATTCGACTTATAAATATACAAGATTTAAAAAAAAGTTAAACACAAAACGAAACACAAACTAAAACCGCAACGGCTGAGGATGGGCTGTGCAACCCATTAGAGCTTACAGATACATTTGTTTTAGTAGTTTTTTTTCTCTTTTTTTTTTGTTATAAATATATAATGTATATATATGTGTACATGTATATCTGTATACATAGGTGTGCATGTGTATATCTGTGTGGTTTAAGTTAAGCTAAACAGGCGACGACAACTGTGGCGCACGTTAAGAAAGTTAAGTTTAGTAAAAAGTCTATAGACGCTAAAGGCAAACAGTAAATACAAATCTTTAGTTACACGCGTATTGCATATGTATATATATTTATATATACATGTATATATGTGTGTGTGCGCATATGCATGTGCCAATGAGACGTATAAATGTGTATGTATGATAGAGATTTAGTAAAATAATATACATTTATATATATATTTCTATATATTGTACGATCAATTAATCCATTAAAACGGATTCATATTCAGCATTTAGCACATACGTCTATTTAAATACACGCACATGCACACACACGTATATGTATATACATATATATATATGTATATCTTGTAGTTAATAGCTATTGTTCGTAAAATGGACTAATTTCGGTTCACTTTCTGCTTTTTGTTCAGCGGCTTTTTCTCTGTTCATTCTCAACGTCTCAGCCATGATGTGAGCTCCTGCTGCTGCTGCTGCATCCTTAGTTTTAGCTCCTGCTCTTGTTCTTGTTCTTGTTGCTGCTTCTGCTTCCTCTGCTGCTGCTGCTGGTCCTGCGCTCGCCTCAAGTCTGAATCTCATAAAAATGGATTATTGGTGTTCATGGCGCCGCTGGCCTGTGGAGTTCAATAATWATAATAATATTAATAATCATTTCCAAATACATTGAGGCCAGGGAAGGGTACTCTACTCTAGAAGGTGACAGACTACAAAATACTCTGTAACTAGCAAAAACTATAGTAAGATGTGTTAAATTAAAAGGAAAGATAGGTGAAACCGATATTTATCGATTTTTTGCCTTCGCTTCAATATTCCTATATTTATATATATTATAAATACATGCACTTTTATGTAATTTTCTTTTGATTTGGGATTACAATTAACGCCTATATTTATGAGCTTGATGCAAGCTTTATAACTATTCAAATTGCCTCTGGTAATAGATATTTATCATGAAAAGAAAATCAAAAGCTCTCTCATAGATTTACTATGAAAAGTAAACATAGTATAAGTATAAACTCTTAGATTCCTGAATCAACATCTATCACGATAGCATAATAAGATCTTATACTCGTACTATTATGAGTCAGCAATAGTCTGAATTCTTAACTTTAATATTGATATATATCGAGGAGTTTTCAAATGAAAAATCCAAGATTAAATCAATGAGTGAATTTATGAGCTTGTCAGATTAACGTAGTTTCCTGTTCTCTTGCCCATATTACATCATATTCCTGCACTAGCAACTACCACGCTTACTAAAAGCATACGACTAGAGTTTGACTTTTGCTCAACAACCTACCGCAAATGGGTTATTAAAGCCGCCGGCGAGGCCGCCCGCAAGCACGGGCGCTGGTTGCATGCTGCCGAAGCCGCAGCCATTGGGCAGGCCCTGGGCCAAGGCAAAGCCGTTGTTGTTGAAATTGTAGAAGCTGGTGGCAGCCGCTGCTGCCGCTGCCGCCGCCGCCGCCTGCTGTGGGCTGCTGCCRTAGCCATTTGGCAAGAGCGTCAGCTGGCCGTAGAGATTCTGCTGCTGCTGTTGCAATTGCAATTGCTGCTGTTGCAGCTGCTGTGCCTGGAATGGATTCACCAAGTGGCTGCTGCCGTTGATGAGCAGTGACTGCTGGCTCTTGAAGGGATTGACATGATTGTTGTTGTTGTTGCTGCTGTTGCCGTTGGCTGTAACGGAATAGAGAAAGAGAGATGGATAAACTTCTAATGTGGTTTCAGTTGCAGCTGCTGCTACTTACCCGTACCAAAGGCATCCGCCAGTTGTGTGTTGCCATTGGTTGGCGTTGGCGCCTCCGTGACTGTAGCTGCCTCGCTGGCCTTCAGTTCGCGCAGTTGCTCATCGAGGTCCTTCAGCGCCGCGTAGCGGTCCTCGCTGGGCGCATTGCTTGCCCGGGGGCTGGGCTTGTTTGTCGCTTGATTCAGCTGTTGGCTCTGCAGCGAGGTGCCTGCAAGAGAGATCAAACAGTGAGCGTATTACTGACACAAGTGGCTGCCACTCGGATGTACGCTAAGCAAACTAAAGGCAAGGACCCAACACAAGATACGAGCAACAGCAGTAACAACAACAACAAGAAGCCATAACAAATAGAAAACTCAAATTCAAACTCAACCAAAAGGAATTCAA